TATTAGATCCAGATCCAATAAGAGCTACTAAGAGATTATTGGATAGAGATCTACTAATCTAAGAGACTTGAGTAATTGGATGGAGATCCAATATCCAATATGGTAGGATCCATTATGGTTAAGTTGACAAGGGACCTCTATAAATATGAGAGAACTAAAGACTCATAGGCTAGAGCTTCTTTTGGTTGTCATCTTCTCTTTTCCTCTCCCCTTCTCCTCCTCAAATAGTAGGCTTGGAGATTTGAGGAGAGTTATTGTAGCCTTGTTGTGTGGATTACCACTAGAGATAAGGGCACTTGACCTTCTTCTTCTGCTCCTACAGATCTGTAGGGATTCAAGGATATACGATCTCTCTAGGTAAAACACTATCTCACATGTGGATTTAAGTTTCGTGAGTTTTTACACATAAATCTTTGCACGACGACGAACACATCTTTAGAAAATTTAGAGATTTTATTTTTATGTTCTTCCGCTGCGCATGTGATGTCGCCCCCTAGATTTCCCTATAGTAGCTCAGGTCGATCTTATTTTCTTCACCAAGGTGACCTTAAGTTTAGAACCAATAGTGGTCGCTCATGCTTACTTAAGATCATGGCATCAGCGGCTATATATTGGTTGGCTCTCTAAATGACCTCGAGTATAGCTGTCAATGGCCTCTCAACCAATAACCAAAAAAGACGAGAAGGTCTAAGTCCCATCATGAAAGTTTAATCATAAGTGATAGATGAGCTTCTTGCATGCCTTGGATTTCGTTGGTGAACCAAGTGACAAAGTTGAAGAGTATTTCTTCCTCCCTTTACTTAAGTCTGAGCAATATTATCGCCGATGGCTTTAGGCATACATTCCTAAGAAAGTAGAGTTCGAACTTCTTTGTGAACTAAGCGAAGGAGTCGACCGAGAGTGGTTTCAAATGAGTGTACCACCCCCATGTCGGGCCTCTCAGCATCATTGGGAACATACAGCACATCAAAGCATCTGAGATATCATAGAGATACATTTGAGTGTCAAAATATGATAGTGTATTTAACCGAGTCAATACTGTCATCAAAGGCTTCTAACAATTAGAGGTAGAAGTTAGTCGAGATTGATTTCTCTTGGATATTTTGAGTGAATATGGACCAACTCGAGATAAGATTAACCATATTCTCCCTATAGATTACTAGAACTCCCATTACATCTCGTCTAAGCGTTGATCCATTTACCTCGATTGGATCCTTATGGAGTCATCTATTGAATCTACTAATTAAGTCTCAGATTCGGGCGAAGTATATTAGTGGTGCGATAATGTGCTAAACTCCATTGTTGGGGAGCAAGGTGCTCCTTTAAATAGTAGTTCCATGGACCTCAAACAATCCTAAGATGTTGGCATAGTGTCGATCAAGAGGATTTTGATGAGTGTTGATGCTAGTGACATTTGAAGTGTCAGTTGAGATGGTAGCATCGCTTGTTGGGCTAGCTAAGATAGAAGCAAAGCGATAGCTTGCAATATGCTTATGAGCATCTATGCTTAGTATGTGAGGTCTAAATACACCTTGGCGGAGATGAGCAAGTGACTTGAGTTCGTCCCTATGGGTGAGAGACCTAGGTCCCTCAAACACTCGAGTCAGTAATCCGAAATCCTCAAATATGTGTTCGAGTGGTTCAAAAGGAGTCCCACCCTTTCTTTGTGTTAACAGTGAGCTTTTATACTCAGTCGTAAAGAGCACGAAGGAAACTTACGATTATTTTTCTCCTCATAAATGACAAGAAGAAAGCTTATTTTTTTTCTTATAATTAATGATGAGAAAGAAGCTTATGATTATTTTTTTTTTATCAGAATCTTTGTCTTATCCTCCCTATTAGGCACCATATGATAGTGACGTGTTGAATAATTAACCACCAATATATCTCTTATCAATGATATTAATATTAGAAACATTTTAAGTATTATTATCTTCCTGTCATTATAGATGGAACAAAAATAGGTCAAGCAACTCTATCACCGTTTAGATCATTTAGAATTAGCGAGAAAGATAGAGAGTTAGGTTCCTTTTACTCGACCATTTTGGCGAACTAGGAGTCTTCTTATTAAACTATTATGACCAGAATAGATGCCCTTTTTGTTCAACATTGATGACTTAGGATCAAGTGCTTCCTTCCTCTTTGATGAAAAATTGATCGATCCACTATTTGTTAGGATCAAATCTCCCTAAAAGTCTATATATTATTTTTCTAATTTTATTTAAATCAAGAAAATAATAAAATAATATATTATTAGGGTTGATAAATTTTTTTAAAGGACTCCGATTACTCGAATATCTCAACGAATTTATGTATAAAAATGAATATTTGATAATTAGGTTTGTTCGTTATATAAGTAGAATATATATATAT